CCCTACACACAAAATACATCAGCAGCACAATGAAGCCAGCAATGGGAAACTGGAGTCCCAGAAGGGATGTTGTGTTTGGTCTCTGCCACGAATGCCTTAACAGAAACCCCTGCTGAATACGGCAACACTCCTGCCCTCCTCCCATTTATGGGGGGAGAATTTATCCGGTGGCTGATCAGAGTCAGCAAAGGCTGGAGAGCAGACAGTCTGGGATCTGTCCCACATTAATCCGTCTCCAATTAGCAGGGCTCCTAGGACCGTGATAGCTCAGCAGCAAACCCCGAATGAGCTGGAGGATATCTGCTCTAGCTGCATTCCCCGGGCTGAATTGGTTCCTTCTCCCCTGAAATCTCCTTAAGGAAAAGACAAAAAGTGAAAGCAGTTTTCATGCCCCAAAAGAGATTTGGAGGGATGGTGGTGTGTGGTTTGTGCTGCTGGGGGAGCAGATAAGAAAGGTCAGGGTAGGTGTGAGGGGAATGGAGTCTTTTTAATGATTTATGGACAGTGGAAACTAGAGAGAGCCCACAGCAGTGTGAAGCTCAGCTAAGCTGGGGGGGAATGTGCCGGGACAGCATTCTTTTTCAATGGCTGCCCATTCACCTTCTTTCACCAACAGGTCTGTGTCACTGCAGGAACAGTTTCTGTAGGAGTTTTGTTTTAAAAGCAATGCAGAACCATCTGTACATCGGATATTTCCATTCCATAACATGAGTTTGTTTGGAGGCTGGGCAGACTTGCTGGCTAAAATTCTCAGGAGGTTTAAACAGCTGGTCATTCACTGTACTAGTCACACTACCAGCTGAAAAGCCACCCCTCCTCTCCGCTGTCTAAAAGGCAGCTGTGAAATCTCTTTCAGAAACCCTTCTAAGAGAAAGCGGGTAAGTCAGTCTATTTTTTGAAAGGAAATAGGGGAACCAACACAACAAATCCACAGAAGGCTCTGAATGCCCTCGCTTGTGCAGGCATAAACCCACCTCTATAAATGCAAAGCAGCATTTATATCTTGGACACCTTCCAATACCACTGAGACACCTGAGTAATTTTCCTGCATTAGAAACCTCCTCCTGCTCATCCCCAGCAACACGTCCCTTTTCCTCCCCCAACACAAACACCGGGATCGAGTGCCATGAACAAAGACACACTGGACAGCGGACAGATTGCTGTCCTGTAGCTCTTGCCATCTCATTTTCTTGCCCTGAGTGAGGAAAGCAGCCTGTGCGGGAGAGCCACGTCCTACATTCTTGCCCAGCCGCTGGGCCATTTCTCAACAGAAATAACACAGTCACTAAAGCATCACACAAAATCCAGGTTTGTTTCTCGCCTTACAGAAACATCACTGTAAGAGTCCAACTCTGGTCAGGACATATTTTACCTACCAGGTTTAGAAGCAACGTCTAGGATTTCAAAAAAATGTTAAGGTTTTTTTTTTAAATCTGCATTTTTCTCAATTAGTTTATTTGGCAAGTTATGTGGTGGTACTGCAGCTTCTCCTGCCCACGCAGCTCTTGGGGATAAGAGATGCGAAAAATTAAATGCATAAAAATAGAATCATGGTACTCTAACTCATTTTAAATTCACTAATTTTCAAGCTGGCACACTAATTTTAAAGCAGCAGTTACTTTAAACATCACTTGAGATAACACGAATTACTGAGAGCTCGTACACCCAAGTTTCTACCTAACTCCAGCCTGTACCTGTCTGTTCCTTAAGTGCAACAAGCACAAACCCTTCCTGAGCTGGCCCACTTATCTCTTGTGCAGTCTAGAGACAGCTGCACGCTTTGCCATGCCATGTACTTCCATCTCCTTTTAGGGGTTTGAAAATCTTCACCCATTCCGGATCCGATACTGGCTTCCACTGTGTATCTTTTTTTACAACAAAGTTACCACTACAGGAATCAGATTCACACTCATGAACTGCAGCAGGAGTCTCTCCGCTTTTTTGGCCATACAGAGTTCCAGTTCTCTCTTCCCAGGTTTTATGTTCAGTCTCAGTTCTGTCAGAGTGGTGGGGACCTGGATCAAAGGGCTTTGCGAATCTACGCGAGAACTGACGTTACACCAGCGCTCGGATTCAGGTAAAGCTGACTCAAAGGTTTGTTGGTCTCTGCTTCCCGCTCCGTTTTCAGAAGAAACGTCCCTGTTTCTCAATGGCCTTGTGTTGTTTGCCTCATAAAATACTTTGCTGCCTAGCTCATCAGGGCTTGAGGCAACATCCTGCCTTTCTTCTTCCGTAAAGACAGCCAAATCTTTCACAACTTTCTGACACCAGTTTAAGCACGCTGAGGTAGTTTCCTCCAAGTCTGACGCATTCAGTAACAGTCCATTACCTACTTCACTCGCCTCGGAGGTGGGTTTTACCCTGCTTTTTGAAACTTCTCCAGTGCCACACTCGCATATCCCATGGGTACCCTCAGTCCTAACCGCGTCTGTCTCGCTGTTACGTTCAGGGGCAGAGGATGTCAAACCTAGGCTACAATGGCGCGACAAGAGTCAGGAACACAGCATTTCAAGAGCGTACGCAGCCCTACTCAAGGTTAAAGCTATACATTAACCAGAGGCTGTAGCCATGGTTCTGCAAGAGTTCATACACCAACGGGCAGCTGTATCCTGCCAAAACCTGGCAAAAGGCTGCCCAGATTTGGCTGTTGCTTTTCAAAACCAGTCTCAGAGTTCCCTCATGTGTGGCAACAACTCCATCTGAACCTCCAGGGCGTGCACCAATTTCCTCATCTGAAAGGAAAATAAACTTTGATTTTGAAACAAAAGCAGTAGCTGGCCAGATTAACACCCCTACCACCAGCCTATTCCATCTTTTAAAAAATCATTAACTGCCTGGCCTGCGTACAATGCTGCAACTGGTACTCACGGTGTCTCCTCACCAAGTTAAAAAAGGCACCTGACAACTTCCCTGCGTGTTCATGGTCCTGTCCAGCGAAGCCACCCGGACACAGCACACATCTCTCCTGGGATGTCAATTGTGGCTGAACAGTAAAATCTCTCCCCGAGAGTAAACTACTAAAACCAACTTACTTTACCTCCTTTCATGTGCCGCCTTATCATGCTTTTGCCTTAATTCCTGAGAGCTCTGCAAATGGACATGAAGAAATTGCAAGTCACGCTGCTGTTTCATGTAGATCTGTTTAAAGACAGTAACGCACGTTAGTGAAAGTCCAGAGTGCAGGAACATTGTCATCAGGTACTAACACATTGCTTGTCTTCCAAAAATACCCTCAAGACATTTTTATAAACCGATACCTGTAGTCAAACTATTGGCAAAGCCTTCCAAATCTAAGGGGCCATCTCTGAATGTGTTCAGGAAAACACTGTTTTGCAGCAATAAACAGTATTTCTATTAGAAGACCGCAGTGTTGTTCTAAAACGGAACCACACTGAGCCAGAAATACAGCATCATCCTTGTTATTTGGCATTTAATACCTGTTGTTATTGTGTTGTTCAAAGTTATGCACAATGACAGGACACAGAAGAATGATGATGGTATTGGGCTTTCACTGCAGGAGAATTTTTGTAAAGCTGATGTAGAAGATAACACACCAATTGATGATTTACAACAACACCACCTGAACATGCCTTGAGAACCTCCAACAAGTGCAGGTGAAGGCACTGGGTTTGTGTGTCCCTGGAAAAACAGACCTTCCAGCATGCCCTGCCCCTTTATGCTGCCCGAGTTCACCCGCCCCACTGCCCTTGACGCGACTCCTCGAGCCTGGCGCGCTCTGGTTGTACCCACCCACCGACACAGGGTTATCTCAGCAGGGTGCCCCGCTTCGCTGCTCTGAGAGTGGTATTTACTCGTTCTAGGACTGAGTAAATGCAATTAGACAAAGGTTAAAAGCATGTGTAAATACAGGGATTTGTACCAGGGGTTTTTAATTTTAACCAGAAAAAAAACAATCTGTAATGATCCCAGCAAGGCAGAAACAGCAAATTTGATATTTTTCTCCTTAATTAGGATCAGCTAGATCGAACTTCCCTACAGTGTTCCACACAGAACTGATGTCACTGAAAAATGCCTCCATAACCCCAGAGCAGAAGCAGAATGAGGGCTGTACCTGTCGCAAACTTGACAGTTCTGTGTCAGTCCGCGCTTGTTTGGACTTGGCAAGCTGCAGAAGTTGGTCCTTCCTCTTGGCTTTCTCAACTGTTTCAAAACACACACAATTTCTGAATGACTTAAAGCCAACAGACGCAAAGCTAGTACATCTGTTCATTACATCTGTAGCAGTAGAAACAGGTATCTAACCAAAGCACAAGCATTTTCTGAAGATCAACAGGATGTGTTTCTCCTCCAAATTGCACAGAAACCACAGGACAACAGACCAAGCATTTTCCTCCAGCACCGAGCTGTATTTCACCAGCGGCAATATTCTACTGCAGTAACTGATTTATTTTACTTTTCCATGTTAACATTCTTCCACTGAAAGGAAATTCAGTAATTAATTCTAGCTTACGTCTTGTACAGGTAAGTGCTGGGAAATGCTTCCCATTACTATTGTTTTTAAAAATGATGGGACATGGGATCAATATTTGGCCGAGGGAATGGCAGATAAAAAGTGACAGGCAGGTAAATCATCTCAGAGCAGAGGACATGGTTGGTCACATCTTTCAAGGTGTATTGCTCGTCCGTAAGAACACTGCAGCAGCAGCCAGCCTGCCTTTCTACCCACTGCACTACAGAAGAGTTCCTCTCTCCCAAAACCCAAGGGAATCTCAAGCTGCAGCTTACCAAGTCCAGCATATTAAAGCATCTCTACCAAACCCACCAGCTAAAGAAAAACAAGAGAAAAAGTGAATTTGTAAACATCCTTCTTCCATACAAACCCCAGAGAGAGTGAAGGGGCTGGTAACTTCATAGGGCCTAAACTTTAGGTTTTGCACGTGTCTTGTTCTCGGTAGGTCACAGTTTTCTAGGCAACCTTTGGCAGCAGGGAGAATGCCACCCCCGTTTATTGTATGAATACCACAGGAGACATGGAAGTCCCAAAAACGTTCGAGAGAGAATGCCCTAAGCCACTCACTCCCCCACGCATCGTTTGTGCCTTCAGGGGATTTCACAAACTCCCCCTGCACAAGCCCTAGGTATCGCTTTCACAGAAGGCGGCCACACGAAGGCACACGCCCCTGAGAAACAGCGCGAAAGGCAGATACGCAGCTGCCTCCTCCACAGACATCACTGAACTGCTGCTGGAAGACCCTGAGCTGCCGAACGTCACAGCACAAAAACCCAGCTGCCCCCACTTACCCAGAAGTGCGAGCTCATTCTTCAAGCAGCTCTTTTCTTGTTGGAGGTGCATGATTTCTTCCTGCTGTTTATTATTTTCTTTCATCTTTACACAGAGGTCATCTTTAAAACAAAACGTGGCATTTCCCAGAATGAAAAGCATCGTGCTGGTCTGCACTGATTTAGGTGCCCAGTATAAACATTTACCTTTCAGCTTCTTTCTTTCAAGGGTTAGTTCTTTCAGTCTCAGTTTGAGGTCTTGCCTTTCTTTGTTGAGACTGAATTCCTCCGTCTTTGCTGCACGCAATGCACCTTCCAGCATTTTAAATTTAGATGTAAACTCAGTAATGTGATCAGTTGTTTCAAGTATAACCTCATCCTGAAATACAAAATAAAATGTGTTCTTGATTATTGCTTCATCTTCATGTATGGATTTTGACAACAGTGCATCTTACTGCAGGAATTGTAGCTACTTTTGAAAAAAGCCAAAAATCACAGCCAGGAAACAAGCTTGTTTATGAAAATAAACCAGTTTATTGTTTGTTCACCACTCTTCCCTAAGAATTAAGCAGCAGAGAGATCAACAGTGACCAAACCCCTGCGGTACCGGCACCCAGAGCTGCACTGCAGTTCGACCACGTTTAGCGCCGGGCGAGACGACAGATGTTACCTTCAGCTTAAGCAGAGTAAGAAGCTCCTGCTCCCTCCCTTGCAGCTGGCCTGTTTTAGCAGACAGTTCCAAAACTGAGCAGTGGAGACTCTGGTTTTTCTCCTAGTGAACAGAAATAAGTGTCAGCTGCTACTGCAGCGATTCACAGCTACTGTTTTTCCAGCAAACGTGAGTACAACTTCGTTTGAATACGAGGAGTTGAGTGTGGGTTTCTGAGCAAGCCGTGAGGATCCAGAGAAGGGAGAACTGGAGTAAAAATTGTTCCTCAGATTCAATACAACCAAACTTGTTTGTGATGAAGGGTCTTAACATCCTGCATGTCTTAAGTCAAGCCGATCAGACAGATGAATGTGCAGAACACTGCTTAATTTACGACATACAGGGGGAAAAGTATCGCGGTGAACACAACATTGCCAAATCACTTTAAAAAAAAAATCTAGAAGCCTTGAATACCGACCATTTTCCTATCTTTAAACTGTTTTCAGAATGTTACAGTTCATCACGGTAACAAAGCTGTAAATAAAACCTCTGGAATTTCCTAACCACGTACCAGTACTGTCCTGGGGGCCAGCACTGCCTTTTGCAATCACAGGGCCTGACGTTTCTGGAGACAAGTTGGTTCTAAGCACTGTTCCCCAAGACCAAGCAAACAGCAAACTCCAAATCCTAGCTAGAAAAGCTTCTTTGCCCTGTTTTTTTTCCCTCCCAACAAATCAGAGCTATACCTTAGTCTCACCTTCCTGTACTAAAAGACAAATGCAACCCAGGAGCCTTCACTTGAAGTATCTGTTCGCTAGTGAAACTCACAAATGCCGCTGGCATTCTGTACGTGCACAGACTGCAACATCAGCCCGTTACTTAACTCCTACCTCCAGAGCCTGACAGTGAGCGGTTGCATCTGTTACTTTTTGAGACAGCTCTTTAAACGTCTGTTGTGTATTTTCAAACGTTGTCTTCTTGTCCTTCTGCTGAGATTCTAAGAATGTCAACCTTTTGGTCAGTGACTTTATAATTTCGTTTCTCTTGTTCAGCTCATCTGGAAAGAAAGGAGATAAGGTGTCTCTGAGAAAACAACTCAGATACGGTCATGTAATTTTTTTAAATTTGAGAAATAATTTAATCTGGGCTTTTCAAGTTGTGGTTCAGGAACAGATGCCTGTGTTGCACACTCCGAAGCAGGATCCCCCAGCTACCCAGGCCAGACGGAACACGAACACTGTGGTGACCTCTGTACGACGGCTGTCAAACACCACGGTTCAGAGCTGCCAGCTCATTAGTTGGGTGGCTCCGGATGACGTCAGCGCTGCGCAAGCAGCACCTCAGGGCACAGGGCTCTGCAGTACACCCACATGTCTGCAAACTGTTCTCTTCCCCCACACTCACTTCATCAGGTTTTTATTTAAAGAACCCACGGAAGCAATTTACAGACTGAAACGAGAAAGAGCTGATTACCGTGCCCCCTTCAAGATCAGATCGCTTCGGTACTGTCGTGGAAGTTCTGATCTCACACAGACAGCACCAAATTGAAGGCTGAAGGATCAGAAATGGGTCTATATGCTGCAGAACTGTGACTGAGGGGCCTGAGCACCTGAACGTACTCAAAAGACCAGGGTCTTAGTGTGCACAATACTCACCGGTCAGTAAGTTGCACTGATCCGTTAAAGTCAGTATTTTCTGACGATCATCCTCCCAGGCCAGAAGCTGTCTCCGATGCACAGCCACCACATCGTTGAGCTCCCTATTGCGATCCTTCAGTTCTGCAATGAGAAGCTGGAGCTCCTGCCTCTGTATCTGAATGGTGCTGTGCTCAAGGCCCGGGCTAAGCTTCTATAAAAAGGAATACATGGGACACGTTTGAACACGAAGCAGCGATAAATCTCTGATAACAAACCCGAGGTTTTAATCTTTGTATCATCAGAGACCAGTCCAGGAGGTTCCTCCCGGCTGCAGTGCCAGCTGTGGTCCTCGACTGAAACCGTCAGTGTTCCAGTGAGGAATTTCACGTTAGAAATGGAGCGATTGGTAACTGTACTCTCATTTTTTTACCTGGGGCGAAGCAGGCGGCAGCAGTGATGAACTCATAGGGGACCGGGACCAGGCGCTAGCGG